GTTTACGTGAATACTCGTCAAAACGGACAATTCGACATCGTTTTGTGTGTAATTCTCCGTTCAAGCGATGCGAAAGAGTACTCGCGCGCTGTGAGCGCTTTCTCTGTGTGTATGCTTCAGTGTTTAAGCTCAGAAAACCGGACCGAATTGAGTTCTCTCTTGCGGCGTCAGATTTATCCATATGTCAGCTCTTCTTACTCCCACATATTGACATTTTTGCATGTTTTATGCGACGTGCAGCAAGTGTATGTTAGCTTATGTCCCGCCGGTTCATATGTACGCATCTAACCTCCGAACCACGCAGCAGATTCGTTCTGAATGATTCTCTTCCCAAATCGTCCCCCCCTAACATTTTCGTCTCGTTTTTATTCGTTGTCTTGTCATTCAAAAATAGTTTTAGTTCGTTATCGTCTCGTTGTCACCAGTTAAAAAAATGTCGTTGACGAAACTTATGAAGAAAATTATTCGTCAACGAAATTAACACTGATTTTATGTAGCTAAACATGCCCTTAATAAGTATCACTCGCATATGAGTGAGGCTGAGAGGAGCGAAGTAGTGAATAGCAAAGACCCACCTGATAAAATGAACCAGACAAAAAGTGAAAGAATTGGTGTGGAAAGATGACAGGAAGAGGAGGTTGATGAAGAAGCAGAGAGGTATGTGGGAGAGGAGGACTGGCAGAGTGTCTCTGGAATGAGTGACTCATGCCATGGTGGAGTGGAGGAAACTGAATTTGGGAACATACAACTTTTGAGGAGTAAGGGAGAGACAAGTGTTGACATGAAAGATGAACAGAATATTATGAGCAATGGAACAGGAACGGAGGGGAACAAACAAGTGCAGAACGATAGCGATGAGAGAGAAAATGCGAGGTTTACAGCAGTGCTGTACAATTTACAGAGAGTAAATGTTTTGTGTGGAGTGATAAAAGAAGAGCAAAGAGAGAGATGGGGATAGATAATAAAAAGAGTTGTAATTTAGACTAAAATATATATTTTTAAAAAAACTTCAATGTTTAATGCAAAAATCTGGTCTCTTTGGAACATATCACTGTATTGTTCTGTTGTGTTGTTTTAATTTTATAATGGTTTAGATATATTTCTCATTTCTGTTTATATGCGTTTCCCAGCATGCAGATGGTCATGAATTCTGCTTTCTAATGCATCACTGTTTGAGTTTTTTCTATGTTCTCTCAGTTCAAGGACAAGAAATACAGCTCTCAAAAACACATTTGGGTCGAGTGTCAAATTCTTTTGGGTTTTCTGGACTTTTTGCTCTTATTGGATGTGATTTTCTCAAGGTCTAGTGTTGGAATGAGAGCTGCGGTACTTGCAGTTTCACCAATTAGCTTTCTGAGCGCCGTCACATGGAACGCTAACGATAAAAGTGCTTAATGCAAGGTGAGGAATGAGGTAAAGCATGGCTTTACAAATGTGAGGCACTCACTGCATGGCTGCCGGTGTTAGTGCTGCATTTGGCAGCTTGTATTGTGCAGCATGGACCCAGATGTTAGGCATTGGTCCCTGGGCACAGCCCTTAAACACCTTGGCACACAGATGCCAGATGTTTACAAGCTAAAAACACGTCCGCTGCTGCACCCTGCCTTGTTACAGTGCCAGAGCCCACTGCAATTCTTAATTACTTTTGCTAGGTTTCTCTTTATATGCTTTACATTTCAGAAAACAAAAAGTATCATGCTAATACCAGTTTTGAACATGTACCATGATACACTTTGAAGTTAATTGTAATAAAAATGTATGTATCATAGATTAATATGGTAAGCTTTTATAAATGATTCTGTTTTAACTTTTTTAGCACCATGGTGGGTATCAGATTACCATGGTATTTTAAATAGATTCCAACACTATTATATTTTAAAGATATGAAGATTTTTCATTCTCTCTAGCCCTGTGGTCACATTAGTGAAATTTCAGCTACATTTTGTGAACAAAAATTTTTAATAGTGTAGCAATGTATGAAGCACAGCTCACACCTCTCTGATTAGGGCCCTTGGAATTGTCCTAGCCAAAAGAGATTCAAACTCAAATGTTGAGTTGCTTTGAAAGATGTTTTATACTGATGTTTAATACTTGATTGTACTTATTTATACTCCCTCTATCAGATATAGAACTGTTTGTTAACAAATTTTATCTGAGTGTTTTAATGTTTTAGCTCTGGATTTATAAGGTTCTCCCACCTTCTTTCTGATGGTTGTGATGAATAATTTTTTGAAGGTTTTTAAATTTTTTATTTATGCAGTACAGCACACAGTTCAACACTGCATATAGTATGTGAATACAAACACATGTAGGACATAGTATAGAGGATACAGAAGATGTTTTTGCTAATTAGCTTTGAAGCAACTGTGTGGTTGCGACAGTGCTGCACACCGAATTGTGTGTTTGCGTGAGTGTACTTAAATACCTTTTTTGTTTGTTTGCAATAAATTCTGTGAATGCACACTTACTAAACAATTTACTGTGTATCATGGTACTTATATTTAAACATTTAATCGCAAAAAACTCTCTTTTTCATTTTACAGCTACACCTCAGTTCTTTCCTGCTTTTCATCCTCCAATACCAATCGACGATAGACATGCACAAGGCCGGTACATTTATGAACCCTCACCAGTACCTCCGCTACACGTGTGAGTAAACGCACAAACTTACACAACTTTACTTATGTCTATTCCCATATTTAAAGCCACCATGAATGTAATTAAAGCTACCTTCTATCAAGTTTTAAAGCAAGACACTACAGGCAAAGCCATTGTTTTTTTCATTCATTGGACAACTGTGTTTTTGATAAATTTTGCTTCCATAACTTGTCTTCTTTCAGACTAATGGAAAGAAAACATCCAGAATATGAATCTGAATGTTAAATTTATATAGTCAGGTCCATATATAATTTTTATTATTTTAGCTGCTGACCAAAACATATTCAAGTTACAGTTATATATGAGCTTAAAGTGCACACTCTGAGCTTTAATTTGAGGGTATTCTCATCACAATTGGAGGAAAGGTTAAGGAATTAAAGCTCTTTAATATGTACCTCCCCCTTTTTTTAAGGGGCCATAAATAATTGGATGGAGGAAAGGTTAAGGAATTAAAGCTCTTTAATATGTACCTCCCCCTTTTTTAAGGGGCCATAAATAATTGGACAGTTGACTCAAAAGCCATTTCATGGACAGATGTGGACTATTCCTTCGTTATTTCTACATCAGTTAAGCAGGTTAAAGTTCAGGTCAATCGAAACAATAGATCCCTATGGGGCTATTCACACCAGGCACGATCATTCGCGGTGCGAAAAAGCAAGGATTTTTTTTCATCCTGTGTGTCCACGATGAAACGGGCCGTCCAACAGGCATGTGCACACATAGACATAAAAGGGGGCTTGAGCACCTGCCCTTTTTCTTACTCGACAGAAAGTGCCCTTTTTTACTGGGGAGTTTTTTTTATTTTTTATAAATGAATATATGTATATATGTCTGCGTATGTGTGTTTCTGTTTGCGCACTAAAAAATCGAAATATCAGGTCGGGTCAGGAAATGTTGAGACCTTCTCCCCTCCGCGCAGGCGCAGCACAGCAGTGTAGCACACATTGATCGGCACATGTAATGCACATCACTGACTGGCAGAGAGCCACAGAAGTGAAACCCTCCCTCCCTTTCCACTGTGTTTGTCTTGGTGTGGAGGTGAGTGGTGAATAATGTGATGAACAACAGACTAAGCTACCTGTGCCTCGAGTTTACAGCGAATTATCCAAAAGGCAAATATGGTTAATTTGTCTTGCTAACATCCATGACTTATGAGAGAGCTACCATGTAAATGTTTAGCTAAGGCAATAGGAAGTCTAGTAGTTTAGACCAGTGCGCGTTCTTTCACTGCATGATTCAGTTTATTAAAATGAATTTAGAATGATCACAAAATTCAAGATATGGGGGCAGAAATGTATATATTTATATCATTTAATATAGTTAATCAGTATCATGTGAAGACCACCAAAAAGCAGCATGATTACAAATGTGATATTGGTTTTTATACAGCAGTTCAATAAACAATTTAATATTACGACACTTACTTTTAGACATAAAATGGACTGTTTTTGCTCTATTTCGTCAACAAATATAATTCCAATTTGAGTCTCTGAGCCATATGAGCTACATCCCACATAGCAATTTTTCTCTGGCCCAGCTCCGGCCCACACAACCAGCTTTTGCTTGGCCCCCATACCGCAATGAATTACGGTCCTAGTGTAGACCAGGTCTGGATTCCAGACAAGGGCCACACATGGGCCATAACTGGCCCAAGTCTCAGCCAAGTTAATTACCCATAGCTGGCCCTGAATTGGGCCAGATCAAAATGTAACATTGGAACCAAAACACAACCTTAAGTAAACCATATCAACACCAATCTTTAACCAGAAAGCCCACAACTGAGCCACACCTGAGCCTGATCCACAGGCGAACTAAACCTGGCAGCCAAAATATGGGCCACAAATGGGCCATAAAAGAGCCATGACAGATCCATATCTCAGCCACCTGAATGACCATAGCTGGCCCTGTTCTGGTCCTATACGCTGGACCAGATGGGTTGAATGAATGAATGAATGAAAAACCATAACCAAGCCACTTGATACACACCCCGACCATCAGCATGGAAGAATATAGGAACAATGTGTCACATAGCCAACAATATGTAGTATACAATGTCAGGTTTATTAGAAATAAACAACTACAGCAGAGGTGAAATGCAGAAAAGAAAAATAATAATATACAAAACATAACAAAAAAAATCTTAAAAAAACAGAATTCACATTTTTAGGTTAGCAGAGAGACGGACTCTCGCTACTTGTCAGCTGAGTGAGTTGACGCCCCGTTTCCATGGTAACTCCCTCCGCTCCAGTTTATATGTGATTTGAATGCTCAACGCGCGCGCCCATTAAAACACATCAAAGTTACGCATTTACATAAATAGTTCATAAAAGTAAAATAAATGTCCTGAAAGTTCGCGATGGCGCCGACACTGATGGCTGCCTCCGTGGCGTGCTCCGCAGTTGTTTTTATGTTTTTGTTAGTTTGTCCTGTCTTTAGTTATATCCCTGCAATCAGTTTCACCAGAGACGAATTGCTG